GAGAGAGAGAGAGAGAGAGAGAGAGAGAGAGAGAGAGAGAGAGAGAGAGAGAGAGAGGAAAACAATTGAGTGAAGGAAACGGGAAAAAGGTCCGTTCGTGGGGGAGGCAGGGCTTCGTGAGTCTTCCTGGCTGCTCCCCGTCGCTCCTTCTCTTGTCATCTGTATGCGTGTGTGTGTGTGTGTGTGTGTGTCCCACCCCGTTCCCTCCGGGGGACGAGCTGCGCCGAGGGGGCGGTTGCCCGGAGGACAGCCGGCCCACTCGGCCAGTCGTCCCCCGGACATCCAACACACATACGCACATACACAGACACAAACACGCACAAGGAGCGCACAGTCAGTCCGTGAAGCCAAACATATCGGACAGCGCCTCCCTGACCGTGTGCACAGAAACTAAGCCAGGTTGGTAGCGATGAGCATTCCGTAAGGTCTTCCTGACCACCCCTCAGCAAGCATCCTTGGCGAAACCATTGCCCATCATTGTAGTCACCACCTTGTTGATCTCCGATGCAGCGTCATGTGGCTCAGAGCAGAGTAGCAGTATCTGCGCGACTTGGGCTGTGACGACCTGCAACGCCTGCTTGGTGTACCGGTTGGATCTGTACTTGACGTACCTGCAGGGGGTGAACCCCAACCCCTCCCGCTTGTCATGTTTCGAGGTGATGAAAGTGCCTGCTTCCGGGGAGGTGATCGTAATGGTCATGCTGAGAAAATTGGCCTTGCATCCGCCCCCGTCCACGATCACCTCCGTGTTCTCCTTCAATTCGATGTACTCCGCAGGATAGATCCAACAGGGGTCATCAGCCTCCCTTCCTTCCTTCTTCATAAAATCCCTGATGATGGTGTTGTTGATTGCCCCCAGGTCGTCGACATAACTGAAAGTGTCAGAGAAGTATGGGATGAGATGCGCGTTCCCTGTGTCCGCCAACCTCATCATAGCATACTTAAAAAAGTATATATCACACCAGATAGGAGAACATGCCAAGCCCATTGGGATCCCTCTGACCTGTCTCCATACATAGTCCCCCATTCGCAGCACGCTATCAGCGATGCACCAGTCAGAAAGCCAGCAGATGTCCTTCTCCCCAAACAGCATTGTGCCCATTCCCTCGATTTGTCTGTCACTCACCCATGAGGGCCAGAGTTTGCCGCCGTCCCCCACCCTAATCTGAATAGTATGGCACGAGCTTCTCTCCCTTCTCACCTGCATTGCACTTTGCACGTAGAATCTCACCGCCGCAGGTAATCCGTCCTCCGAGTTGTCCGTGGGGATCGTCTCGAAGCATTTGGTGATGTCCGCCGTGAACACAGAGAAAATCCTCTCTGGCAGATTTGCACATAGTTCTCCGACAGAGGCAATCGACCACCACAGGTTTGGTTCCACCCCGTACTGCTCCTACATCTCCACGCTCCTCTCCTGACAGAACGTCTGCACCAGGGGAAGGAGGAACCGCAAAAGGCATGCACAGAGGTCCGCTGCAGGGGAGACGACCGTGCCAGTTGTGTTCGTGATCCATCTAAATGCGCCCTTATGCGCCTTGTACACCGTCATCAGAAATGGGAGTGTCGCGGGCGCCACCGGTAGTGCTGGGAAGGCCAAGTTCACCTTGTATCTGCGCAACCACCGCGGCAGGGGGGGCTGCGATGCTTGCGAATTCAGGTCCGGATAGTCTTTGGAAGGCGAGCTTGCGAATGAAGTTCTTACAGACGAACACCGGAGTGTTAGGCGCCTTGTCGGTAGGGCATATGAGGAAACGCCCAGTGAGAAACTCCAGTTCTCTCTCGAAAGGTTCCGCAGGCACGTGCCTATGCTGCTCCTTGTACCTGGACATCTTCGCCCTCGCCTTCTTCAGGATTACCCTTCGCAGAAACGACCGTGTGGACGCTGTAAGTTCCTGCAGTTCCATTACTCTCGCCATAAGCCGATCCAGGAATTCGCCCACCTCGCTCTCCGCTACATCGATATCCAGAGCCATGCAGGGGATATGGTTGAGTCCCGAGTTCATGATCCCTTGCATTAAAGGGTTGTCCGTGACTGATGAGTCGATTGTGATCACGTGCGTGTGCCCTTCGGATTGGAGTAGATTCAGCGAGGCAGGGCTGCGCATATCCGCGTATCTGCGAGTTCTGCAAGGGCACTGTTCTGGGTCATAGATCTCCATCCATTGCGCCACATTGAAATCGCAGAACACTTCCACAGGTTTGCACAGTCTGGACGCGATGCTAGCGTTATAAGTCCATTCGATCATCATGCGCTCCAGCCACGTCGCCGTGTCATCGCCGATTATCCTTGCGAGGGTCTCATTGATCATCTTCCTAATGGAAAGAGGTTCCATTACCCTGCTGGTGTACTTCAAATGCAGGAAGACGTCACAGTCCGACTTCTGCCTCCTCCAAGACCTTCGTCCTGTTGGCATGGTGATCATCTGCCCGCGGCCACTGATGCAGCATCGCGGGTCCTGCGCTCCGACAGTCACAATCACAGGCCAGGGTTTGTGTTGGGTGGGGCAGTGGATTTCAGAAGGGTAGTGGGGTCGTTTCGAGAGGATGGTATGGCCAAACGAAAAAATGAAAAAAGACACAAGGACACGGAAAAAGAACACAGAAAAAGAAGGGGGAGAAGGAAGAAGGAGGTTTAAGGGGGGGTACGCACGCGTCGTTCGCGTGCCAGCGGAGGTGCCCGCTCGCGTATTGCCCCTGCCTCGTGCTCCCTTCTTCCTCCTCCCAGTCTGGGTAATTGTTGACCGTGTCGAGCTTTCTGGTGAAAGAAGGATGACGGGAGGTGGGGTGAGTCCCCTAATCACCATCATTGGTTGTAGCGGAAGCGGGGAGGAGGTGGCCTGACCCATCGTTGCCCGTAACTGCGGGTTCGCAGCGAGCGAGGCACGGAGATGATCAACCCAGTTGATACGCTGCAGTGCGGTGGGCAGCATTGTGGGCTGCATCTGTGCGGACGTGGCCTGAGAAGGAGGGGGAGGAGGAGGAGGAAGAGGAGGAGAGGGAGGGGGTGGAGGAGGAGGANGGAGGAGGGGGAGGGGGAGTGGAGGAGGAAGACGGGGGAGGAGGGGGAGGTGGGGGGGAGCCTCCGGGTATGGGTTTTACCCTGCGAAAGCTGAGTGTGGTCTGGCCCGGAATGTGTCCACCCGCGTTTCTCTTCCATGCCATCACCCGTGGGGAGCTGAGTGGAAATCTCGTTGGCTTCTCAGGAATGCGCGTGGGGAGCATGATCCGCGCCAGCGTGGCGGGGATCGGGTAATTCCAGAGTCGGTCGTCCTTCAGCAGTCCTTCCGTATCAAGTGTCGCGTCATCCTCTAGTTCCCTGATATAGCCCATCATTAGATCTCTGATAAAGTGGAAGGCAATGGCGGCGAGCAGTCCCTCCCTCCACGTAGTCCTGAGGTAATGAATCAGCATTGACGTCCTGATCTTTATCGAGGACATGTCCGGGAACCACAGGGCGTGGTCGAACCACAGCGGGGTGTCCCCGCAATCTTTGTTCCTCTCCTTCTTACATTTGCACTTGAGGTAGGGCCTACCCACGCTCCAAATCTTTTTTACGTTCCTCAGATCTAATTTGTCCTGCTACCTAATCGCCTTCTGCCACATCCCGGAGCTCGTCTCGCCACACTTGTCTGGATCGAAGGAGCGCATGGGGGGGAACTTCAGGTCCTGGGGATCTAGCGGGGGGACCCTACCAGAGAACTTTAACTTACCTCTCAGTACCTGAGTCTTGCATTCCTTGACATGTGCATCCGTGATGTTGCCCAGAAACTGAAGCGCCCTAATGGAAATTGGAGCAACGTGGTTGAAGGTTTCCATTTTCCAGATGGCGTGTCGGAATCCGGTGGAGGTGTGCTCTACCCAGTATGCTGATGCAAGGGGGGCAAACACAGTGTATCTGTCCCGTTCCAAGGCGCTGTCCTCAGCCCGGTCGCTCGTGAGGGGGGAGTCCCTGATGGTGTTGGCGATGGCGGCAATCGCCCGCTCCATCTCCTCCCTTTCCTCAGTTTCGATTGCTAAATCATCGCATCTCGTAACCCGAGCGTCCCCTGTGTTGGGTGAAGCCCGTTCCCGTGTTTTTGGGATCCGCCCTTCCAAGTGTGAGTCATCGACACCCCAAATCCGAAGAAAGATTCGCTCTACCCTCGCCGATCTACCCGCTAATTTTCTGCATTCCCTAGTGTATTCCTGTTTCCTCAGCTCCAGTCGTTTGCACAGAGTCCTCAGCTCGTCGTCGAATTCCTGTCTACTACGCTCCCAGGCACCCGCAAGGACGGCGAGATCGCTAAAACAAAGCATTTCGAAGAAATGGGGAAAACGTTCGGTGTCCCATGCCTCTCTAATCGCATCCATTACCCCAGGGTTGACGCAGGTCATCAAGGCCTGTGTGGGTTTCGCCGGCCAAGCACAATCCTTGAGCCAGGGGAAACGATGCGTGAGCTCGTTCCACCACCCGCCAGGGAAGGATTCCTTGGGGGGTCTTCGCGGTTGTGTATTCAACAGGGACGAGAGAAGGGGGGAGAGAGAGAGAGAGAAGAGATGGGTACGGAGGAGATTCAAGACAAGGAGAGTGACTGAGAGGTAAGCGTGGGGGATAGAGGTGGTGAGGAACATGGGTGGACGGGATAGGGAGGGAGGGAGGGGGGGGGGGGGGGGGGGGAGGGGAGAACCACATACAAGCGGACAGCAGCGAAATGTCAAAGCAGGATCCCACCAACTGTCCCGATCTCACAGCATTAATCATCACAAGCCGTGCCATATTCAGCCATATTTCCTTTCGATATCGTCCGGTCATTCCCTCGTCAACATCGGACGTCCTCGCCGTACCCCATAGCCACCATCATCACCTCATTCTGGGTGCGTATAAGGAACGCGAAACGCATCACGGTGTGGACGGGGGGGGCACCCCCCGTCAGCGATAGAGGAAACACATCCTCGAGAGTGTGTTAGCATGCGCATATCACATGCATTTCGCACGGGCACGACACATCATGCACGTGCTACTCCGACTAGACACATCGGCACACCGTGAGCAAAACAAACAAGACGTGTGAGGCGATGTCCCAATGCGGCGAGGTAAGGCCACTCGGTATGTCCATTTCATTCTAAGGGTAACAACAAGGCCGTTTATCGGGTGTAATTCGGCCTAATTCAGTGTAGGCGGTGAAAAAGAAACGCGATGGGGGTTGGAGCGCTTCGCACCGCAAGGGGGCAACGATAAGACCAACCATAGAGACATATGCCCGATATGTACCACGAGGAAGAGTGACCATTCCATCAAGAACCCCCCGGCATCGTATAAGCCTTGCACCGGAATATCATTCATCCAATTGATAGATTGCAACAAGACAAGTAAGGGAAGGAAAAGTAAACAAAAAAGGAAAACAAAAAAAGAGAAAAAGAAAAACAAAAAAAGAATCAGAAAAAAAGAACAATAGAGAAAGGGGAAATATGACCAGTGTAGCGCATCATTCATCAATATTCCCGGAGATAGCACCATTCATTCCACAAGTCCTGATAACATTCCCTAAAACGACGAAGGCTCATCAGACAAAAGGACACACAACAGTCATTAAAAAAGAGAACACRCCGACTAATASASCGCAGCATCCAACGAAACAGACGAAAGTGCTTCGAAAAAGATGAGAGAACAATCAATTATTGCAAAAAGAACATTRTAGACGACGCAGTGTTTGAAAAAAAGAATACCAATCCCTTATCCCAACCATCAAGAGTCTYGTCGCCYGCCTCACCTTCCTACCGTCAACCGAGTACAAGGTCCATGGAAAAGGGCAGATCAGAGGGGAGGAGGGAGAAAGAAGGAAGGAAGGGAAGGGGAGGGGGGGAGGGGAGGGGGGAAGTTATGATCCCGCTTCAGCTCTTTCCTCCAGATCGACACATTCCTGCAGCTGCGTGGATCATCTCGCCGAATCGCGGGAAGGGGGTGGCAGCTCCCTAAAGCACTTTTCTGCCCCATGCCACGTGGGGCGTCATCAGAGGGTGGGACATCCTCCAGGTCCCTTGGAGGGCAGGGGGGTAGTGGATGGGTTATGGATGGGTGTGCATTGGGATAGGGATGATGGGGGGTTGTGGGATCGAGGGACGAGGGGCGGGGGATGGGGGAGGGGGGAGGGGGGTAGACTGGGGATACGGGAGGGGTTGGGGGAGGGAGTGGATGAAGTAGAGGAAGGCTAGGAAGGACATAAATGAGAGGAAGGCCAAGAAGGCGCATGCTGACGCCTCCGTTATGGTCCTGTCCTCCATCGCGCAACTCCGTGAAGCACAACCTTCAACAGCTACGCCACCTTTCAGCGCCCAGCACAAAGAAGAAGCAGCAGCAGCCGGTGAGAAGGATGGCAGCGAAGCAGACCGTGCAGCCAATCAGCAGAGCGAAGCGCCTAGCCGTTAATCGAAGGAAGACGCCCTCAGATAAGCACGCGACAACCAGCACGCCAACTATGGCAAAATTAGGGAGAAGGGTGAGGAGGAGGAGGATGGCTGACGCGGCGCTTTGCGCAGGTGCGGAGTGGGATAAGCAAGGCAAGACATGCTCAGTTGGGCAGGTAGCGTCGGCATGCATGTTGCTTGGTCGTAGAGTACTCAGGCGTCGGGTTCCGGGGAGAAGACCGGGAAGGTGCCGACCGCTAGAAAGTTACCACTTCCTCTAATTCTGGTTGCTCCTCCCCCAGGTCCCAATCGGCAAAAAAATCCATTCCGCCCGCCACCTTGCCCAACCTCCCTTGCAAATGCGAAAATCGGGCGCCCCGCTCCGCCGTCAGAATCACTAACCGTTCATTGCCTCGATGAATAGTACCCATGGGTTCTCTTCTAATATAGTCGTGGGTCCCACCTGAGCGCCGTTACCTTGCGAAGCAAGCTATCGTCCCTATCCGTCCATTCATCTACGCCGATCCTTCGGTAAACAGGCGGTCCTCGAAAAAGGAAAAAGAAAAAAGGTAAAAGAAAAATGAAAAAAGAAAAAAGAAAAAAGAAAAAAGAAAGGAAAAAGAAAAAAGAAAAAAAGGAGAGAAAAGAAGAGAGGAAAGAAAAAAGGAAAAAGGGGGAAAAAAAAGGAAACAGAAGCAAGAAAGACAAAAAGGAGGAAAAAAACTCAATCAACTCGCATTCTGCGCCTGCCGACTATCCCTACCAGGCGATTTTATGTGGTATGTTCCGAGAGTGGGCTGTTCTCGTGACCCATCGTCCGGCTGGTATTTGAGTTGGTCGGGGGCTCTTATTACCTCAGAGAATCTGGTCAGGGAATGGGGGAAACTCAGGGAGGGAAAAAGGAAGAGGACAGAGGAGGAAACCGAAAGAAATAAAGGCCAAAAAAGAGACAGGGGGAAAGAAGGGGGGGAGAGAGAGAGAGAGAGAGAGAGGAAAACAATTGAGTGAAGGAAACGGGAAAAAGGTCCGTTCGTGGGGGAGGCAGGGCTTCGTGAGTCTTCCCGGCTGCTCCCCGTTGCTCCTTCTCTTATCATCTGTATGCGTGTGTGTGTGTGTGTGTGTGTGTGTGTGTG